ATCTACAGTTTGGTGAGCGCCAAACATACCGCCCACCAAAATACAACGAGTTGTATTTTACTGTCAATTTGAATCGGTCGCCTGTGGAGCAGGGCCCATCGGCAGGGGGCACAGCTTCACTAGGGGACGCGTGATCGTGCCGTCCGCCACCCGCACCGTGGCGACACGCGGGACGCCGTCGCTGCCCGGATGTAGCGCCTCCACTCGTCCTCGCCTCCAACGCAGAGGAGGCATGTTGGCGTCCTTGAGGAGGACTAACGCACCGACACCGAGCGGGTTGACTGAGGTCCACCATTTGGGACGCTGTTGCAGCGTATGGAGATACTCCTGATGCCAGCGCTTCCAGAAGTCCTGGTGTATTCGTTGGACGAGTTGCCACCGACTCAGCCGATTCATCGGTAACGAGGTCACGTCTTGAGTGGAAACGGAAACGAGCGGTTCCATCGTGAGGAAGTGACCCGGCGATAGGACTTCAAGGTCGGCAGGGTCGGTGCTCATCGGGCAGAGGGGTCTGGAATTCAAGACGGCCTCGACCTGCGCGAGGACCGTCGTGAATTCCTCTATTGAGAAGACTTGATCACCCACGGTCCGCCGCAGGTGGGTTTTAAAGGTCTTGACTCCCGCCTCCCAGAGGCCCCCGAAGTGGGGCGCGGAGGGAGGATTAAAGGACCACTTGATCTTCTCTCACTCCGCTGCGAGGCTCATGCGGCTTTCTAGTTCCCGTGCGGCCCCTACAAAATTCGTTCCGCAGTCGCTGTAAAGAAGCGAGCAGCGTCCGCGTCGGGCCACAAAGCGTCGCAGCGCAGCGAGGAAGGAGTCGGTGGACAATGAGAAGGCGGCTTCCAGGTGCACCGCCTTAACCGAAAGGCATACGAAAAGGCACGCGTACACTTTGACGGAGGAAACCCCCCGGGCTCGTCGCGTAACTATGTTGAACGGTCCCGCGAAATCAACGCCGCTGATCGAAAATGGCTTGGCCTGTCGGACCCTATCGGCCGGTAGTTCCGCCATGAGGGGCTGAGAGGTGTGTGGCTTTACGCGGAAACATTGATGACATCTCGAGAGTACGCGTTGTATAGCGCGATGCACCCCGAGGACCCAATAATGTTGCGTGAGCAGGTATTGCAGCGTGCGCCGACCAGGGTGCATGTTCGTGCGGTGCACGTGCTCGATAACGAGATCCGTGAGCCTATGTTTACAGGGCAGTAAGGCAGGGTGCTTGTTCTCGAATGTCAATCCGGATTTTGCAACCCTGCCGCCCACCCTGAGAATACCCACCGGATCAAGGAAGGGAGCGAGTTTGCGAAAGGGCTTGGGGAGCCTTCTCCCGCTTTGAAGACGATCGATCTCATCGCGGAAAGCATCCGCCTGTACACTCTTCACAACGAGTAGTAACGCGGAATGCAGTTCGAGCTGATCTATGGCCAAAGTCGTAGGAGCAGATTTTGCACGGAAGTGATGTACAAACCTGAGAATGTATGCTATAATTCGGCCAATTTTCTCGATTGAAGAGAATCTTTCGAGCAATGAATGTACCGCGTCAGGCGGATCGAGCGCCACGAGCGATACGATTTTCTCCTCCTCGATCGGAGGGGTTTCCGAACCGTGGGAAGGTTCAACTCGGGGTTCGAAGCGAACAAGCCACTCAGGGCCCGCCCACCACATCGAACTGGCCACCAGATCGCGAGGATAAAGCCCGCGGGAGCAGTGATCCGCCGGATTGGACTTCGTGTCGACGTGACCCCAAGCTGATACCGGCACGTTGTCCTGAATGAGGGCAACGCGATTTCTAACGAAGGTTTTCCACCGTTGTGGTGCTGAGCGGATCCAGGCCCGGGCAACCTCGGAATCCGTCCAAGCATACTCGTCGTCAATGTCAAGGTGTCCGCGGAGGGTGCGCCGGACGTACGCGATTAATTTAGACAAGAGCAGAGCCGCGCAGAGCTCCAGACGGGGAATGGTGAGAGGGCGAAGCGGGGCGACCTTAGACTTGGCGCACAGTAATCGGACCCCGACGCCGTCGCGCGTAACGATTCGCAGATAAATCACGGCTCCGTACCCCAGCTCGCTGGCATCGCAGAACCCGTGGAGTTCGCAGCGATCCACATGGCACGAGTTAAACGCGCAAAGAACGCGAAGGGAAGATAACACGCCGAGCTCCGTCTGGAAGCGACTCCAACTGCGACGAATGTCCATCGGAGGCTCATCATCCCAATCTAACTTGAGGGTCCACAGACGCTGAATTAAGCACTTCGCGGTAAAGGTAAGTGGGGCCAGAAAACCCAGGGGGTCGAATATGCGCGCTACTTCCGACAGTATAGTGCGTTTGGTGCACTCACGATCCAACGCGTTGACTTGAAACCCGAAACTCAGATTGTGAGTGCCACCGAAGGCCCAATATCTTCTGAGATTGATCCTCGCTTGACTCGAAATCTAACATCGATTGGCTACATAACTGCGGGTCGAGGCCCTCCAGCGCGGCAGGATGGCTGCTCGACCACTTTCGAAGCTCGAAGCCGGCGCTTCGGAGAAGCGATAGCAATTGGTCGCGGAGTGCGCGAGCCTGTTCCACCGTCCGAACGCTTGTCACGACGTCATCCACATACAGCGCCTCGAGTAGGGTTGCGAACGCTAGAGGATATTTCTCGCGGTATTGATGAGCTAACTGGAGCAAACAATAGATCGCCAAGAACGGGGAGGCGCTAAAGCCGAATGTAACTGTTTTGAGGAGATAGTCGAGGATGGGGTCCGACTCTGAGAAGCGCCAGACGATACGTTGGTAGTTGCATTGCTCCGGGCTTATCCAAATCTGGCGAAACATCTGCTTCACGTCCGCGGTTAGAGCGATCGCTTCGGCGCGGAACCGAAGCAGGATGGCGAGCAGGTCCTGCTGCAGCTTCGGACCGCTGAGCAGGGTGTCGTTGATCGACAGACCGTCCGGGCCTCGCGAGGACGCGTTGAACACTACCCGCAACTTAGTGGTAGTGCTATCGAGTTTATACACACCGTGGTGCGGTAGATAATAAATGTGGCCATCCGACGGGAATGGATTGCGAATTACCTCCATGTGTCCGCTATCGAGATAGTCCCGCATGAAACGATTGTAACCAGCTCTGAACTCCGGATCAGATTTAAATCGACGTTCTAGTGCGCGGAGACGACTAACCGCAATGGAGCGCGAGCCGACGAATGTAGGAGGATCCGACACGAACGGGTACGAGACCACGAAACGACCCGAGGGGTCACGATACGTGGTCTTGGCGAAGATTTCTTTGCAGCGTCGATCCTCGTCCGAACAAGAAGCGTCCTCCGGCACCTCCTCCAATTGCCAAAAGCGACCCACCGATGTCGCGATCGACTCGAGCGTAGTCGCGAATGACCTCAGGGGCGCTGCCTGGACTGATGGGGATACCGCGCCCGTCAGAACCCATCCGAAGACTGAATTGAAGGCGTCGGGTTTTCCCCTTTTCCCCTTACGACGGCCCTCCCGTAGCACCGACACAAACGAGTCCGCCCCCAGGAGGATGTCAACACCGCCGGGCACGAAATATTCGGGATCCGCGAGCGGCAATCCCTTCAAGTGTTTCCACGGCTGGACCTCCACCTTGTCATTAGGCAGCGGCGAGGTTATGCGCGAGAGGACCGTAGCCTCTATCGAGAACCGAGTGTCGTCGCGACCGCGCGCGCGGATCACGAGGGAGGTGAGGCCCCTCGTCGTGGCCGCCCTGGCTTCGTTTATCGCCAACACGGTTGCACTGTGTTTGGTGCGACGAAAGCCGCCCTTCCGGAGGCAGCCCTCGGTAATAAAGTTGGCCTGACTCGCGCAGTCCAGCAATATGCGTACGGGGAACGCATTGCCACGCGCGTCTATCGCCTCGGCTCGTACGGTGGACAGGAGGACGATTCTATTGGCCAGGCTAGTCATTGTTACAATCGGCGCATCCTCCAACTGAGGAGCGGGTACGGCGTCCGGTTCGGCAGGAGTCGCGCTAATGGGTTCGGGCTTAGGGGTAGTATTAGAGCTCTGCTCGTAATGCAGAAGCGTATGATGCTTTGTGCCGCAGGACCGACATGCCCACGCGGACGGACAGTCTTTCATGCCATGCCCCGAGCGCAGGCAGTTGAGGCACAATCTCAAGTCGCGAGCCTTAGCCTGCCTCTCCCTCGGCGAGAGTTTTAAAAACTGGGAGCACTTCGACACGTAGTGAGACTCCTTACAAACGGGGCAATCGGCCGCGTTAGTCACGAACGAAGAGATCGGTGTGGACTTGGTTTTGGAGGACGGGCCCGCGACGGCCTCGAGAACCTGACAATGCTCCGCTAGAAATTTCGTGAGTTGTGTATATCGCGGTATTTCCTCAGCCCGGTGAGCCGACTCGAATTTTTCCCGAAGGGAACGAGGAAGCTTGTCTAACAAAAACTTCAGTAGAATAAAATCCCATGATTCGGTAGGGAACTTCATCAATGCGAGCGCGCGCGTGTTCTCGGTAAACGTATCTAATAAGTGGTGAAGAGCCTCGGCCGTCTCCGCCTTCAATGGTTTTACCTCGATTATCGAATTCAAGTGATGGTCCGCTAACCTTCTCTTATTCCGGTATCGATCGACCAGCGAGTCGTAAGCGATCAGATAGTACTCATCGGAAAACAGCAGGTTTTTCACCACGTTGAGTGGTTCCCCTTTGAGTGAAGCCAGCAGATACTGGTATTTCTCTATCGCGGAAATCGGCTGGTTGTGTATCGACGCGTTGAACAACGCGATGAAGGAAGGCCACAACGTAAGGTCGCCGGAAAACTGCGGTAGCGGGATCTTCGGCAACTTGACCACCGAGGCCTGACCCGAGGGCTGTGCCGGCGCGCCTCCGAATGGCGCGCCCGTTTCACGGTGGTATCGACTCTTTACGGCGTAATGCATTTTATCGAAACTGGCTCGGATTTCGTCCTCGACCTCGAAATCCGTCGCTTCTTGGATGACCTTCAGGTGGGTGGCCTCAAAATCGTCCGCGATCTTCGCTACGCTCGAGTAGCGAGCGAGGAAGGTCGTTCGTATTGCCGCGTCGGTCGCGGCTTGTAGGGAGAGGTCGTGTATTTCTTGTATACGCCGATTGCATACTTCGCGACGAGCATATGCGTTTTTCGACATGATGTAGCAAAGGGGTCGTCCACCACAGACAGACGAAGCTAAGAGCAAAGGGTAAACGACGAATAGGCAGTCGGAGGCGACGGCAACCCGAACCAACAATATCGAAACCCGGCGAAAACAATCACGAAAGTCAGGTCGCCAAGGTGAGGGGTAACGGACGGCTCCGTTCGGTGCTCGCGCAAGTCCCGAGGGAATATTCTCGATAATATTCCTCGAGTTGAACGCGGAGAATATCAGCCGTTGGATTAGCGCGATAAACACGCGTCGCAGAGTTCGAAAGGCAAATATTCTCGATCGGTGACAATAATATTTTCGAGCGATGGTACTCTCGGACGGAGCACGAATGTCGGGATAATACAAGTGCTGGGTCGGGCGGTACGTACCTCGCAACGACGTAAACACGAGCGATGCTCGAGACTATACAGAAAAACAACGCGCGCGAGACCGGCCCGTAATCGAAGGCCACGGCCGTTGTCTCTATGCGCGAAAGTATCGCTGGCCCGGAATACTCGGATATTCGACCGAATATTTCGGTTACGATCAAGTCAATTAAATGGCGACTAATTACCGCGGCGAGCGCGGATTCGATTTTAAGGCGATTAACGGCTGCGGCCCGAGCTATGACGAACGAAGTTCGCACGCGTATTCCCGTTGCGAAGCTAGCGTTGCACGAGAGATACCGCGCGAGACACGAGTTGTCAGCACGCCGAGCGTTATTGCACCTCTTTAATGCGAGAATAAGAATTCAGCGAATTCGCGTAGATTACAGGCGGCTAATGGCCGATTGCGCGATGCTACGCGAGAATTCCCTTCGCGAAGCGAGCGTTGCGATACGGGAGATCCTGCGAGACCCGCAAGGTCACGTGCTATTGCACTACGCGTTACAGAAAGATTCGGTGACTTAGAACAATGAAAGGACACGCGAAAGGTCGGCGGTAATAGACTAATCGCGAAGATATGATTATCCGGCTCGAAGGACCAGATGCTCGTGGGGGCGGTAGAGCCGTACCCGGATTTGCGATAAAGCGAAGCTCGAA